ATTAGTTTCTAGTAATTGAGCTTATTCTCCCCTTTTTGTGACATTTACAACTCTCCAGTCCTTCGGCAGCACTACATATCCCAAGAGAATTGAAAGGTTGTGACCAGATCTCTGCTGTTCCAGCCATTCTTTCTTTCCTACAATCAAATATCTGGTATTTTCAATTACTCGTGATAAATTGAAAATGACATTTTGAAGAACATCACATAGATTCCTAAGCTGCCTCTTCATTTCACTGTTTATAATTGGAGGTAATCTTAAAATGACACTTACCTGCAAAATCATGAAGCAAGTCCTTAATGAGATGTCCTACGATGGCATATGCTACGGCCACAACAATTATAGCTGCTATGAATAAATATACAACATGTTTAGGAAGATGAATGGCATCTCTTGCAGGAGGTTTATAGTCCCTGTACACAATCTCCTGTCCAGTAGACGAAGGGTGTTCTGCTGTATCTAGCATAGTAGACATATTTTTGGTGACCTATATGTGAACAAATGTTCATGTATTTTCTGTCGCTTCACCTTCCAGCTGTCTTTTGAATTACAAAAGAGGTAGCATTGTTAAATACATACTCTGCAGATTAAACCCTCTGCTGCAGACGATTCTTCTCTTAGGCTTTAATAAATCATGTGCTTTATCCCCTGCTGTTCTTAATCCTTCACAGTTTCCATTCCCACAATTGTATTAAATAGATTCATGGGTGAAAGCTCTTAAAGAAACTAATGAGACACTTCTACTCATTTGCTAGTCATCTCTAATTAGTTTGCATAATTTAACCGTAGTGCAAAATGAGAATGAGAAATGAAGTCTGTCTGCATTTGAGCTGTAATATTTTAGTCAAAGGTCAGAAAGTATAATTTTGATACATTGAATGGAAGGATATAAAATCCCATTATAAAATGATTTGCTAAAAAAAAAGCAAATGTGAAGTGAGCAAGAGATAGTAGGAACTGCAGATGCCGGTGAATCCGAGACAACAAGGTGCAGGGCTGGATGAACACAGCAGGCCAAGCAGCATCATAGGAGCAGAGAGGCTGATGTTTCGGGCCTAGACCCTTCAATCAAGGTACACTTTTTTTCTGTGGAAGGGATGTTACCTGATGGCAATCACATGACAAGCAGATAGAAAACTGACACTGTGTACCTGGAATTGGGGGCAAAACCATGTATTTCCCACATATCTAGATTTTTCTTCATGTTGCAGCTTTCCCTGTTTAAGTATGTCCTTTGTTATCCCTGTACAAGTCTATTCATTTTTTCCATTTATATTTGATTACATTTACAGAAGTGTGGTGAGACAGAATTTGACAGCAATATTAATTGCATAATGTAATCTCGTGCTACAACCATGTACTGCTGCTTAAATTCCCAAATGATGGGCAACTATCATGTTAAAGTTTTAGTTTGTGATTTTAATCTTCTTCTGCCCTGAAAGTTAGTCGATTGTAGCTAAGAATTGCATAGACACTCATCTGTGTGGGCCAGTAAAACACTATGTACTCACTGGCCATCAGCAACACAGTGGCTCAGTGGTTAACACTGCTGCCCCACAGTGCCAGAGACCAGGGTATGATTCCAGCTTTGGGTGACTGTATTTGTGAGCACATTCTCCCGATACTGCGTAAGTTTCTGTCAGGTGCTCTGGTTTCCTCCCACAATCCAAAGATATACAGGTTAGCTGGATTGGCCATGTGAAATTGCACCATAGTGTCCAGGGATGTGCATGTTAGGTTTATTAGCCATAGTAAATGCAGAGTTACAGAGATAGGGTACAGGGTTGGTTCTGGATCCAGATGGGATGCACTTCAGAGGAAAGGTGCATACTTGATGGGTCAAATGGCCTCTTTCACACTGTAGAGATTCCATGATTCTAGGAGTTCAAAGCTGCAAAATGCATGTGTTGCAGTGGAGTTCATGGTAGTATGAGCTTGCAATGTCAAATCGGACTCATTTGGGTGCAATGAATTAAGCAAAAAGGAAGGTGGAGGGGAAAAAAAAACTCCTTACTTAGTAAACTGACCAGCTGCAATGAGTTTCTTTAAAGAGTAGTTGAGGCATTGAGTAATTTAGCAATTAAATGCATTTAAGAAGAAGCTACATAAGCAGGAGGGAAAAAGGAATAGAAGGTCATGGTTGTTAGATTGAGATGAAAAAGAATAGAAAATGACTCATGTGAAGCATAAATGCCACACACAACAGTTGACCAGATTCAATATCACAAATTTTATGTAATTTTAACACCAGCCTGATTTTGGAACAATTTACAAGTTCTGCCTTGCACTGACAAGGAATTGCTTTTAACCAGTATTTCTCTGTTATTGTATTGCTTCTTGGAGACAACTTTAGGATGTGGAGAAGGGGGAGCCTGTCAACTGTTACATTGAACAAGAAAGGGCAAAAATTATCCTGTTGGAAAACTCAAAATAAAGCTGATACCTGGAAGAATTGTTAATTTTATAATGTTTAGAATAAAATAATTGACATTTTGAACACTGCATCAAGTGAATGGTGGTCAAAAAGCAGTTGATCCAAAGATCAGAACTGACTATCAAAGGCAAAATTACATTCAATATTGTTCAGTGTATGCATTAACTTACTTACCATTACTTACAATCAAAGTTAAGGCACATACGTATGATGGAAAGCTTAAGATTTATAATGATTATTATAAATATACAAAGGAAAATAATAAAAACATTGAGGTCAAAGATGTTACAATACAGGTGGGAAAATAGCATGTAGTTTGTTATTGCTACTGTAAATGGAGACTAGCAAATCTTCCACAATGCTAATTTACCAGGTTTTAAAACTCAGATATACTGCTTTGGAATCAAGCAGAATCAAACTGAAGGAATCACAGTAGGCCCGCAAAGGAGGATGCAGATAGTGTAGAATGGAATATGAACATACTTTGAAATGAAGAACAGGGAGGTGAGTTTACACATTGTTTTTAGATAGTGTTTTGTGGAGAATACTGCATTGCTACTGTAAAGCCATGTAAATATAACTGCAGTTAATCTCATTAGCTATAAACAACAATCCAAAACTCGTAAAGCAAGTTTATTTCCTCTTAGTCAAGGGTGGGTGAGGAATATGATCTTGTGTTGTCACAGACTTTTCTTTACAGCAGTATAATTTTTATTTTATGGTAATGTTATCAGACAAAATACATGGGATAAAATTACTGAGGGAGGAGATTTCTACAGTAGCTTTGATGAAAATACAAATTTAAATCTGAAAGGAAAAAAAGTCAGGCTGAGGAAGAAGGAAAACAGAAAACTGAAATGATTGCCAAAAGAAATATTTGCTATTAAATAATGTTATGACCAGGTGAGGAGGGAAAATTGGTCACTCTTTTCAATTCCTGTTTGTGTCCAACAGGTTTATTTGAAAACACAAGCTTTCAGACCCTCTCTCCTTCAGGTGAATCTATGGGGTGAATTTGTATTTGCAGATACATGCTATTTTGTTCGAAAAGCATACAATATATAGATAACAAGATGTAGAGCTGGATGAATACAGCAGGCCAAGCAGCACAGAGGAGCAGGAA